GGGGGGGCGTCATACCTTGTTTGGAAACGTACTGCGAGGCAACTCCAACTTCAAATGAGGCGAACACCGGGGAGTGGTCACTTGTCATGATGTTATTAGTGCACCCTGCAAGTTCACACAAACACTTATAAACACTTCTGTGCATATTTTACACATATTTAGCCTGAAAGGACGTCTCAGCTGCAGTTTCACTTCAATCTTTGGACACTTTTGCGTTCAAGGGGTTTTTTCTTATTTTCTAAGTGCGAAACAAAACGTGAAAACAAAAGAAGAAGAGCGCGAGGGCCACAGAGAATGAACATTAGAACAGTGGAAATCTGACTCTGATCAGTCAAAAATCAGAGGTTCTGAGAGATGCAGAGGAAGTAAATAGATGTTAATCTGCATTGTTCTACCTCAAAATATGGAGGAAAGGGTGTAGTTTGATGGTGGGATCATCATTTGTTTTTCAGTTGGACACAGAGTGCTGCATCAAATGTTCTGTGCTGGTTTGAGCTTAGAGTGAAACAAAAACAGCTAACAAAAGGTCAGTGTGTGTGTGTGGTCCTGGTGATGAGCTCATGAAGTTGGCTGAAGAAGTGACGAGCGTATAAACTGCATTTACATTTCATTTCATACACTTGATAGTAGCAAACTCTTGAATGAGCGGGTGTGTCAAACTTTAGTCTAGTACTGTACATTTTTATACATTATTGATCTATATATAAAATTAGTGAACGATTATTCTCTATATATTATAAAAGGTCTAACTTTAGGAAATATTCATGGTTTTGCTACAGCTCAATGAAGACTGCAGTCAGCAGCAGCAGTTGAAAGATTAATACGATAAAATGGCTCATTATTTATTTTATGTAGGCACCAATAAGTTCATATTGGCTGCTTGGTCCAGTTAAAGACAGTTATTTGGAATTAATTAAGTGAGCTAAACTCTCTTTTTCCATACACACACACACACACACACACACACACACACACACATATATATATATATATATATATATATATATTAGGGGTGCAACGATACACAAAATTCATGGTTCAGTTCGATACTTTGTGTCACGGTTCGATATTTTTTCGATACAAAAAAATGTTCATGCCTTTTTAATTTGTCATATAAATATATATTTTAACTCAAAAGACAGAAACAATCACTCATCTTTGGAAAAGAGTTTATTACAGAGAAGTGGCTCTTTCCAAAATAAAAGCTATATTCTTTTTATACGCTTCTTCTGGGCTATATTCTCAGCAGCCTATTAAACATATCAGGTCCCCATAAGGAGAATCATGTGCTAATGGCTGTCTAAATGACTCGGGTAAAGTTTGTAGCATGCGTGCTTGTTGTTTTTGTCTGCTTCCACTTGTCTTTGCACTAGGATGATGTCGGCGTAAATGTGCAGTCATATTCATTGTGTTCCCACTAGTGCTGTCAGCGTTAATGTCGTTAAAATGACATTAACAGCATAACGCGGCAAATCTCTGTTAACGAGTTACCGCTGATCGCCCCGTGCGTGGGACTGGACGGGCCAACACGTTAACAAGCTGACTGCGCTAACGCACTAGTTCCCACCAATTGAGCATTGCGTGGCACATCCGACATACTGTTTTTTTACTTTTGTCCATGACACGCTTATCATCAGGGTCATGCTTCACATGAAAACCAAGATAGTTCCAAAGGCCAGATCTGAATGAGGGTGGGGGAGGTTCAATTTCGGCTAGCGTTGAGGCAGTTGCCATGTTGCAACGAGCTTAGCTTCTGTCTTGCTAGCTTGCTCAGTGGATCTGCGCTCGACAATGCAGCCTAGGCGGAGTAGTCGAACGCAGATTCACTGAGCGCTCAACACAGACAGCATCGTCAGAAGAAAAGTTGATAAAACAAATAAATTTTTTTGTATTGTTCATACATATGCCTACCGAACCGAAAGCACTGTATCGAACGGTTCAATATCGATACATGTGTTGTTGCACCCTTGGTATATATATACATCCCTGTATGTATAATATAGCCGCAGAAAAAAAGGTTTAACAGAAGATTACTCACCGTATGCTTGGCAGACAACATGAACCAGAGGATATGACTTTCGTAGGACGCGATCACACCAGGATGGCAAATTGTATTTTGTCTGTAGAGTTAAAATCATCTTAATTTTAATATCAATATAAAATACTTGAATTTTCAAATTGAAGACTGTAAAACAATTCAAGTATAACTCTACATAAATAGCCCAACATATAAGAAGCATGATGGGCAGTCATTTGTGGAAGAAACATGAGCAAATAGCCCTGCTAACGTGGATCGGTTCAAGAGATCGTGCTGCATGTTCAACCGTTTGCTATCAGTAAATGTGATTTTTGACTTTTCCTAAACTGTCGATGAAAGAATAATAAGCCAACAAAAATCCAAACCAAGAATATTCAACGATAGGTAACTTAAATTAAAATTAAATTCAAAAGATGAAACCTCATTAAAATGAAATAGGCTGTAAGTACACTAAAAGTATGTAGTTAAAATTAAGAGTACGTTAAAACAAATCAAATTAAATTTTATGCATAATAAGAAACTAATAACATTCGAACATGATAAAGTGAATAAAATAATTTGGGATTAAATTAAAAAAAATTACAGCAATGAAGCAGATAAAATTAAAAGTCTCAGTGAAGTGACCGTGATGCATAGTAGGGGAACAGAGATGTGATAAAACGTGAGCTTACCCCTGTCGCTTTGGCCTTTGTGTAGGCGTACCTCTCTCGTGTGTCTCTTTCAAATCGATACGTGGGCGCGAATGTGATTTCTTCTTCAGCTACAATCAAAATAGAATAAAACCCGTATGTATGCAAACACAATTATAAGAAAAAGGACAGTGTTTTGCAGAAAATCCCAAGCATCGCAACAACAGTGAAGACACTTCTTTCTGCTGTATGCCTACATGTACTGATCAGTATTCATCAAAGCTCACCAAAATGCAAGAAGACCTTGCTCTCTTTCCTCTCCATGCTGAGCTGGTCTTTGGTGAGCAGTTCCTGGTACTGCTGCTGTTTGATCTTTGACACAATGTTTTCAGCTTCCTGTGAAGGGAACAGGGGAAAGTAGTGACTGGAAGTGTTAGCAGCTGAGAGCTCAGACACCTGACAACCAGCAGGGTTTAAAAAAAACAAAAACATAACCATGCATCTGAGAGAAAAACCACAACAAAGCAAAGTCCATGAATCTGTATGTAAAGTAGATATAAAACAACGTCTATGACTTACAGAAGATGGCATTTCAACGCGGTAGTTCAGATCTCCAAGCCAGAAGAGGTGCGTGAAGCGATGTGTGATGTCAAACGGATTAAGCTTCTTGTCTCCTAGATTCAGAAATCTCAGGATGCTGGCATAGTTTTGATTCCGTCTGCAAATACAGCAAAAAATATTGGAGTAACATCAAAAATGTGAGGAATCAGTGGAGGAAGCAATAAAGTTTTCTGTTTCTACTGCCATTTAGCAAAACGTTGACTTTTAAAGCAAGGCTTCAGAAAGAAGAGGATACATATTCATCATTTATGTTGTCCAGGTTAAATATAGGTAAATAAATAAATAAAAAACATGAATAATTTTTAAAAATCCGACATGAAAAATGACAAAGATGGTTGCCATCGTGGCCGTGTGACTAGTATAAGGGGATGATGATGACAGTAAAAAAGATGGAAAATAAAAAAATTTTTTTAAAGTATAAAGTATAAAGATGGATGTAGCTTGCTGGGTTGAAAAGTGAAGCTAACATAGAATTGTCTTAAACGTGGATGTTTTTCTAAAAACTAGCAGGGGGTGACTTCTGCGGTTGCCAAAAAAGACTTGTGATTGTGTTTAAGACAGCCGCCGCCGACTCCCACTGTAACCTCAGTGAACACACGCCTGAAGGCTTCACAGGCTCAGTCTCTAGTTTCAGCTAATATTGAATAAAACACCTGTTTTATTTTTTAAATTAGTCAGAAAGGATGTTCATCCAGGGTAACAGCTAGGCAAATACACAGATAGTATGAAGGATGGACATGGGTACTGTGATGTCACTCGCTGGTTTGTAAAGTTCCATTTTGAAACCTTGAGATGAGCGTTTTCACCAACGCCATCTTGGCTGCAAAAAACCCAGAGTGATGAAGGGCACGGTACTGATTTTGAAGCCGCGCACTTGGTTAGTGACTTATAAGCCATTAGGTGATGAGCATTATTTAGTGGTTGCCTTTAAACGTTTTGCACATGTGTGTTTCACAACTCTCACTGAATCGCCCTGCAGACGATTATTTATTGGTGCTTTGCTTTAGTTGAGTGCTTAGAACTACTAGTGAGTATTTGCCGTTTCCTATTGGTAGGAGTATTTTTAGTTGAAACATTTGTTTTCAGCGCTTTTGATTTGCTGACATCTTTATTTTGTTGTGTATTTTAAATCCTTTCATAACAAATGGTAAATGGACACCTCGGGCTCTATCTGAGCACTCATAGCGCTTTGTGCAACTTGCCTCATTCACCCATATTCAAGGGCTTTTTCCCCCCATGGTTTTTCTACTTACTCTCCAACATTCACACACACATTCAAACACATTCTCAGGGTTCGTATCTTTCCCAGGGATATTTGGTATACAGACTGGTTCAGGCAGGGATTGAACCACCAGCCTACCAATTAGTAGATGACCCGGATGGACTTTTCATTTTTACTCCCATCCTCCCCTAGTTCATTTTTGGAAAGTTAGCAATATTTTAGCAGTTCTGGATCCAGATCTGGACGAAACCCCAAATTGTTGGTCTGAGGCAAGAAAAATAACAAATGTTTCCAAAAATGCAGTAGCTAGGGCAGTAATCAAGCGTTGCGATCAAATGTTGCAACGTTAATTTCTGATAATCGTGCAAATTGTTGTGTTTGATTAGAATAACTGTGGTCTGTCCAAATAAATACATACTGCACACAGTGCACAACATGAAAATGTACTAGATTGAGTATACCTACCAAGCTGCAGCTCATTTTGTCATGCAGAATGCTTGTTAAGTTGACCATACAAGCACTCAAACCTCAAGGTTCTTTTTATAGGTTAAGGTAAAGGTCCTACAATATTTAGCAGCTAGCACAATTTAACTGCTAAGCTAATATTTAACAGATAATGTTAACTGTTTTTGCAAAGACGATTTAAAAAAGTGTTTCTGGCTACATTTTGTCAATGTCAGCAGCAGGCTAAAACCAAATTGTGCTGATTATTAGGCACATTTACATTTCCTGCTTTCCATTTACTGAACTGCTAAGTTTCTGTTAGGAAGTAGTGAATAATTGAACAGGGGGGTATTTTGCACATGTCACTAGACAATTAGGATTTTTACCTCCCCATCCATCATTGAAATGACACCTTTGTTGATATCTGCATCGGGTTTTCCCTGAAGAGGCTATAAAAATGCTAGCGCATTTCAAAGAGATTTGCGACTTCTATCAAAGGAAAGCCGCAAAGAGTTGAGTTTAATTTGTTTAAGCCTAGATACATTTTTTGTTGATAAAATGTCCGGGGTATTGCCTTAAGTAAAGGCAAACCAATCATGGTTATTTGCATAGTTACCCTCAAAGGTTAATTTTGAGCCCAGAAAAACCCTGTGTATATGTATGTTGTATATGTGTATATGATGTTACTAATCAATTCAAACTTTTTAAAGATACTTTGAAAAGTGTAACTTTCTCCTCACCTGAGCTTCTTCTCACTTCCAGAGGTCAGATGACTGTTGACAAAGCCAAAAGATGTCCCATTGAACATGAAGGACACTCCCACTGCTCCCTTGTTTCCTGCAATTGAAACCAGTAAACACTGATGGGTCATTTTTCTGTGAACTTTTATGAGCAATCATTACAGGCCTCAAGGAGAAGTGGAACTGCTTACCCAAGGTGTTGGCGATCCCTGTCTTCACGCTGTCTGAAAAAACATGGGAGATCCTGTTTTCATGCTCAGGCTTGGCCAGGACCACGATACGAATATTCCACAGTGTGTGAATTGCCACCTGGATGTTTGGAGATGTTTAGAATATTTGATTCATTAGTGCCTTGTGTTTGCATTCAGCTACAAATTCAAAACTTTGCCACAGTTACTCACTTGTTTAAAGCTAATGTTTGTGATGTTCCTCAGGACACCTTTCACTGTATCTGCCCATTCTCGCTCACCCAAAGGATCCTCCTGAGTCCCAATGACATAAAAATCATGTGGAATATGATCTGCTGTGTCATCTTGTGTCTTCCCTTGGCCCTTACACTGAAACCAGGAGTTGATGTTCGGGGGAGGGCCGGCATTTCCTGTAGGTTTGCAGATCCGTTTTTATATTATATACAGTTAAGTTAACTGAAGCACTGAATTCTGTATGACATCACTGTTACCCATGTTCCAGGTGCCAACAAACACTGTGATCATGTCTGGTTCAGGCTTTTCTGAGTGTTTGTTTTTCATTTGCTGAAGCAGCTGACAGAAGCCCTCTCTTTTCTGGATTCACAAGACAACAAAACACATCACATTTAATGAAGTGCACATGACTGAGGTCAGAATAGGGAGCATCGCCTTTAAAAAGACGCTTACCTTTGTGTCATCAAACACAAACTCTTTCCGCAGAACTTTTTCTTTCTCCGTCTCCACCGCAATGACCAGCTTGGCGTGCATTTTCTGGGATTTCACCAACTGCAGGACTGATGGATAAGAGCAGTATTCTTATTAAGTTAAGTGCTTTTGATGGTTGAAAGTAGTTCTTGACATTTGTTTTCACACATGCTATTTGCACTTGCTGCAGAGAAGGTGCAACTTCCAGGCTGAAGAATCAAGCACAAAGTCTGCAGCTCCTTTAATGAGGCTGTCTCAAAAATCAAGGGACTCTTCATAGACACTGTTGTTAAAACATCAAGTTTCACAGCAGTAATAAACATTTTTTTCCACTTCCAATAAACAAAAATACCTCCCATCTGTTCTCTTTTACTTATCCTTATCAGGGTTGTGGGAGGACTTGAATCTTATCCCAGCTATCATAGGGCGAGAGGTGAGGTCACCCAGTCTGTCCCCCCTTCACAACAACTCCGGTGAATTGATTTTTTCAAACTCATCTATCTGCTTCTTTGATTGTGCGTTCACTATCTGTCAGGCTTCACCTTTACTAACTGTAGTCACTTAACTGGATCTCTTAGCACTCATAAAAATCTTTGCTACATCGCTTCAGTTTATGTATATGAATGCAGCAAAATGAACAAACTTGCAACAGAGTCATTCTCTTCTCCAAAACTGGCCACTTCTGGCCAAAAGAGTCCAAAACGAATACGTAACATTAGGGTGGCTACATTCATCTTTTATACTGTCTGTAGTAGCACGCACAAGTGGTCCATGTATGACATTTTCTATAAAATGATTTTTAAGGCTTACTGACTGATTAAAACTCTTATGACTACAAGTCCCACTTTATCTGTCTATTAGCATGGAAAAATAGCTTTTGTGGCACTACTTAAAGTTCCTAATTTCTTAAGATACTGACCCGAGTCAAATGTACCACCTGAATACATTTTTCTGAACTTTACAAACTCAAAGATGTTCTTATATATAATTAGTAATTTAGAAAACAATAACTGTAACTGCTTCCTCCAATGAACCAGGCTAATGTACCTTCTCTGTGGTCTCACATGTGTAAGAGCAATCTTCTAACGATTAGCGTGTTCTTGAAATATGTCAGAATGTTTGATTCTAATAACAAATGTTTCATTCTGGTAGCTAATTTCTCCAAAATAAAGACCAAGTGAAAAACATTGCTTCTTTTCTTTGCAAAACAGCAGGACAGAGCACAGGGTTAAATACAAAAGCTCTGGTGGACACCATAGGCACTGTAGCCATTTAGTCGAGTCTAGAAAATATAGCAAGATACTGTAAAATACTCCGCCAACACAGAACGCTGAGTTTAACACCTTTGTTTTTCTATTGTAACGTCAATAGAGACCAGGGATCACCAAATTTTATTAAAATCCTTCCAACAAAATTTAAAAAAAGAAATCACCAAATGTTTGCATTTTGTGACAATCAATTGTTTGAGATAGAAATGAACTCCTCAAGTCCTTACTTTTATTGTGCACAAAGTATTTGTCTTCGGGTCCATCTTTTGACTTCTTAAAGTAGAGCTTCCCACTTTCAATGTCCACTTTCAGGAACATCTTTGTGGAAATACCAAGAGATTCTTGTTTGACCTACCAGTGAAAGAAGAAATCGATCAAATAAACCATACACACGTATGACAAATGTTATGTAGACATAAGTACTAAAGAAAGCACCTCAAACGTAACGATTGGTATGAGAGATTTCCGTGGGCCCGCATCAAATCCAACATACTCAAAAACAGAACCTTTAACCTGAAAAAAGGAAGCAGAGTCGTCCTTTGTAATATCTTATAACATTTTCTATTATCATATAAAAAGCTGTTGTTAAAACATATTACAGTACTTTACCTTATCTTCTATCGAGTAGAGCAGTTTTGTTAGTTGCTCAAGTCTACAGGACACAGGACCCGAATCACAGAAATTCTGAAAATAAGGAGGAAATACATGAAGAGAGCAGCTTTTTAAGCGCTGATAATACTGCAAAGGATCATGGGTGCCACCAACTTGTTTTGGTCCAATCCCTGGAGAGAGCTGTTGGTCGAGCGTTCTGTGAAACACCTCCAGAGTTGGCATGACGCGGGAAATTTCACTGCCTCGCAAAAAAGTTCAGCGCGTGGGTCAATCAACCCAATCCATTCAAGTGTATGTAATATTACACATTCCATTAAATGGACACCATACCTGTTTAGGTTCTTGCAGACTGCCATTATAAGCTTCTTGAGGCCAGGCAGGTTAGGGTTACCGTTTTGAACTTGTTCAGCATCTAAGCAGACAGAAGTCCTGAAGTATTCTTGGATGGCCATTTCATGCTCTTCTGGTAAGCTGGAGACATAAGAGAAATGTAAATTAAAACACTTCTAGTCTCAGTTAGCTTCAGGAAAATTCATATTAGTAATTGTTTTGGAAAGTTTGGTGCCGAATGCCTAAATTCTACTTTTATAGTGCTGTAGGTACAAGAGACATTGCAACTGTCTGTAATTGTGACCATACATGGACAAGTCCATATGCTGCAGTTTCGCCAGGTATATGTCTGATAAGGATTTGGAGGCTTGCTCTGAAGTCTTGGAGTCACCGTCCTTTACATCAAGTGGGATGTTTCTGGGTGGGAGCTGTGGAGGATGACTGTTTTGTTCTGCAGAATAGACATAAAGTGTGTTTAGGACAAACAATACTTTCTCTTCCATATCAAAACCAATATAGAGACAAAGTGAAGTTTTTGACCTGGCTCCTCTTCTACCTCCTCCTCCCTCTGGACAGAGTACTGCAGGTGGGTGACTAAACCCATGTTGGGGCTATAATACGCCTCCACCAGCTCAGGTAGCATTGTGAAGAACCTAATAGGCACTCCTTCAGATGCCTGCAGAGCAGATAACAGCAAACATTTTTTTTAATCACTCTTTGTAAACAAAAGGATGAATTTTGTCGTTGTTACCAAAGCAGGTGACATAACCTGTAAGTGTTACTTCCCATATGATGTCAGACCTGTCTACTGTCTGCGGTATTTTCCAGTTGCATTCTAAGACATTCCTTTGTAATTTTGCAATTTATTTCATTTAAAAGAACATATTATTACCCATAAATCATCAGCTATTTTAAGGAAGTAAACATATCCCTGCTCTGTCATAAGAATTAAATCGTACACTTAAACCATTAACAGAAATAGGTTGTAAAAACTATAGTCCCTTAAATAGGTTTGGTTTCTCTATATAGCTACATTGCATTTAGTCTCTTGTGCGGCTCGTAAAACTCAATTGTGAAACTTGCAGTCATTGGGCAGTTACATTATTTTAAAGCACTTTCTTTAAACTAAACTGCACAGGTGTACATTATCACCTCATCTAACAAGTTTTTAAAAGCACGAAATGGTCACATTTTACCTGGCACGTTAGAAGGTAACAGTGCTGACTTATCGTTTCCTAGAAACCTGACACGTTGCTACTTCATACCAGTAAACTTATTTCAGGACTCAACACATTTTGCTGTTACAGAATTTCTATCTAAGGCCACGGGTTTGCAATTATACATAGCTGTTATGTCAGTGCATAAATCAGTCATTTAGAAGCTCTCTAGCATTTTCACCTTTTTTTATAATTACAGTATTTAAAAAAAAACATACAGATGATACTCTGTTCAATCTTTCTGTCAAGCCCAAGGCGTTTATATCCTCTCTGTGGGGCCTGTTAGTTAGTTTTCTAATCTCTTCAGACTTACACTGCAAAGCTGACACTGAACAAATACCAAGATAATGAAGCATCTGCTGATCTGCTTCTGATCAGATTGAGTCTTGCTTTTATCATTGCCAACTAATTTACTGCAAAACTCTTAGTTCCTGCTTCAGTTTCTGTACTGGCTCATTGTAGGGTAGTTCGCCAATGGCAGATTAAAATAAATGGCCTGCATTTGTATAGCGCTTTTCTAGTCCCTAAGGACCCCAAAGCGCTTCACACTACATTCAGTCATTCACCCATTCACACACACATTCACACACTGGCGATGGCAAGCTACATTGTAGCCACAGCTGCCCTGGGGCGCACTGACAGAGGCGAGGCTGCCGGACACTGGCGCCACCGGGCCCTCTGACCACCACCAGATTAAATACAAATGAGAAGCAGGCATTTGTCATTTGCTGAACCATAAAGTCTCTTTTCTATAGATTTAAAAATCATAGTAAATAACAGAGGTATTTATGGCTTTTTTAGGGTGATGTTGTTGTGCTCCCAGTCTGTAATCCTAAGTCTGTAAATTTTACATTTTAAGGCTTTTAAATTACTATCAGTGTAGCTTTGTGAGGCAATAATATTTAGTGTATAATAAGAGAATATGTTTTAAACTGCAGCCTTGTAAGCAGCTCTGAGTTACTGAGCTAACAGACAGTTTTGTGCTGAAATCTGTATGCCTGCATGCTAACATTCAACAGAGACTACCTGCTGATGTTTAACATGTCATCTTTATTCTTTTAGTTAATGCTCATACCTCCAAGCTGAAGCTATTAATACTTATTAATACTGGGGGTATTCGATCATCAGATTGAAATTCAACTATAATGATGCATTATTGTGTTTATTAAATTTTATTCTAATCAATCTGATAACTGGAAACGTCACACGTGCGCGGTCATACACCAAAAATACATGCGGCTTCAGATTCTAGTGATTTTGAAAGTCATTTACGCATTCATCTCGCCTGTTGTTAGGATACTTCAGTCTGGGTCAAAGTGGTGGACAGTAAATACATGTGTGGGCTTACATCTTTAATTAGGTTACAACTGAGCATTGCACTAGCAATGTGTGACTAATACTTTTGAAAATATCATTTCATCTTCACAGTAACTATAATAACTCATCTGGGTTCGGACCAGAACGATGGAAACTGTGAACCCACCTGGACAGAGAGCTTCTTGTCTTCATTTGGCAGGATTCTGTATGTGTACACACAGTTCTGATATCTGTGGATCAAATAAATGCAAATGTCTGTGGTTGGAACATGGAATGAATGTAAGGTGAAGAAACAAGCGGATTCAATGTGTTGAGTGAGCAGTTGGAATCATTTTTAAATGAAGGTTACCCAATGGAAGATGATGTGCAGAGGGGAAAGGGTGGTGCTTTGTGGCTGCACTGTATGCAAATAAAAGGGAACTAGTCTTGTGTTGCAGTGTGTATGTGCAAAAAAAGAAAAAAAATGTAATGCGATATGGTGAGACAGTTTTAGGAACTTTAACTAATAACTGTGTTATAGCTACAGTGCACAAACGATCATGTTTGGAATTGTGTTTCTTGAACAAAATATACAGTTTGACAACCAGATCGTGTCGATTCGATACGATTCACAGCTGGTGCTGCATGTCACGAAGGTTTAATGAAGTAGAAACATGAAGTATATGCAGGCATTTTAGAATCAACCGCGAGCCATAATAAAAAGAAACAATAACTTACAAAACACAGAGGGCATAGGCTCCCTGTATGGATTCACTGTCCCGGATGAGGAAGCTTCCATCTCTTGCTGCTTTGGAAAGTAGATCCTCAGCTTTGGATCGAGTTATATTGCCATGGTACCAAGGTTGATAACTTGGCATCCTGTTTTTCACCCAAGAGCTCGATCTCAAGAGCTTTGCATGTGATCTCAAAAAAAATGATCCCAGCAAAACAAAGTAGACTCAATTTTTCTTTCTGGCTATTTTCATCTTCTCATGGTGCATACTTTTTAGTTCTTTCTTTCACTTGTTCATCCACTGCCTCCGCAAATTGTAAAAGGAAGCTGCTACTAGCTCAGCCCTGAACTTCCTCATTTGTCAAGTTAAAGAGAGGAGGGCCCTAGTGCCTTCACTCGGCCTCTTCTTTAACATAGCCGCACAGCTGTAAAATGGAAATACACACTTTTGTTTGCACAGTAGAAATCTTTATCACCTTACACGAATGATTAACCAGCATACCTAACCTCTTTGGTTTACTTGTTCATGTGAACTTTCAGAAAATAATGAAGTTATACGTAAAAAATTGAGCTACAAGAAGTGAAAAGAGGAAGTAAGAAAGAAAACATGACCATGATGATTTTTACTAGTTACAGGAAGGGAATTTACTGGATATATTTACTTTAAAACCCACACAGTAAAAAAAGAAAAAAGAAGATAAGGACCTTGATTTGTTTTTCAAACATAATCATTTTGTTCTTTGATAAAAATAAACCAAGGTGCATCATATTCAGCCTGCATACTGCTATTCTTTAAACCACAGATGAACCAAAGGGAGCTCGGGGGTTTTCTACAATATATACATTCAGGAAATACAAGTTAAAGTAGTTGCCATGTTCATGTGATGGACAGGAAGTCTTGCAGAAATAAGGGGAGGAAAATGAGCTGCTCACAAACCACAACATGTCACATGATATGAAAAGAGAACTACATGGTGACAAGTCACTGCTGCCTTCTGTCCCCGCACTTGAAATAGTTTTACCACTTTCACGGCGAACATGTCAACGCCACAGACGCGAAGGACGTGAAATCATACTTTTGCTTTCGGGAGACAGCAGCAGACATGTTGAGTTTATGCAGTTTTTATGTGACAGGCAAAAAAGAAAGAAAGAGAGGGACTGGACATGTCACACAAATGGTGCATTTTTGCTGCAGTGAATTACACAATCATTCGCACATTAAAGTCAGAGCATATTTTTAACATGCTGCATTTTATCAAACTGTAGATAGAACAATAGTTATTAGTTTGTCAAGTAACAGTGCAACAGAAATGCGTAGCATCATAGGAGAGTTAAGAAACTGAAAACCCAAAAATATTTTCACAGTGGAGATTTGTCGAGCACATTTAACATATACAGTAACTCATGTCAGGAATTTATAAAAAGCTGTGACTGTGTCCACGTCATTCCTAGCTGAGCTGGAGAAACAAAATACAGGAATTTTTGCATCTATGAAAATGTGATAGCAGGGAAATATCCAACAGCAGTATAATAATGGGCACATTTACACAGTCCACTCTCAATAAAATTGTCACTCCATTGTAGAGTAAATCTGGACTTAATCCAAAGGGCTACAGCCTTAATAGTATCTCTGTGAAGAACAGCGTTGCCTTGAGCTAAATATTAATACTGGCATGCTAACACACAGCTGGAATATGAAGCAAGCAAAGTTTCAAAGTTTGCAGTTCCGCTAGTGACCACATGAGGATCTAAAAGTGTCATTCCCCCATAAAGATCTGCCTTAAAATGTTACTTTACAGTAACTTTAAGTGAACATACGTACAGCATACTACTCCATACTATTCCTTCTTAATAATAAGTCAGGGGGGACTTTCTTATAACTTCTACTTCTGGTTTTTGGAATCAGAGGTGATTTTCTTAGGTCAGTCATACCAGAGTAAAAGTAGGTTGGAATAATCAGCAGCTCATGACTGACCCAGCAGCAACTGATTGAAAGTATCTGCATCAACAACTTTGGATTGCAAGGCAATCGCAGTTTGTTTTTCTGAGACAATTTCTCTGTGACACATCTTTTTTTTTTTACAATACAAGATTCAACTGAACTGCTTCTACTTTGGTTCTATTCTTATATAAATTGCGGTTGCATGTTACAGTTAAATCACCATCCTGTAGAAACTACATCACTGTTTGTGGTGGGTTTTCTGAATTCTGAATGCAAGTAGGTAATGTGAATTTCTGTTTGTGCAGTCAAACACACGTGCCATTTTACAACAAACAGATTGCTGACTCGACCTCATTCACTTGCAAACTGTTAGCAAACAGCACTAAAATTGCCTTGAAAATGGCAACTGACTGCAACCATTTCAAAGGCAACAGCACCATGCCAATGACTTTGTTCATTAACTTGACTGTAGCATAATACTGGTGATAGGAGTCACTCATCTGAACTTCTGGACTGTGTTCTTTCTTGTTGTTCTTGCTTTTTTTTAGTCTGTTACTTAATTAACACCAATAAGCACTTTTCTGTGCTTGTGGATTTCACCCATACAATTTATGGATGCAGCAAACCAACTTAGCACTTCAACTTCACCTCACACAACAGCAGCCACAGTGCTAATGGTGAGTCTTCAAAATGTGGAGTCTAGAAGCTGGTGAGTGCCTTAGTGGGTATGTCCACCAGCATGCTAACATACAGTGCTAATATTTGAAAGGTATAATGCTTACCTTACCTGTAATGCTTACCCTGTTTAACTTCCTGATTTGGTGCATTAGCATGCTAGCAATGCTAATTAGCATAAACATTTTCCAGATATTTGGCCTGAAACTAAAAATTCAAACAAATGAAAATTTAACTGGATGTTTGTACTTTAGGAGACGACACATGATCACACGAGTTTTTAAAATTCTCACATGGATCGCATCACATTTCACTTATAGTGTTAAACTATGTGCACGCACATTTGATTATCCACAAAGCAAGGACAACCTATGTCACCTTAGATGAAAAAACAACAACAATATTATCAACTGTGACTGATGCATATTCATCACATTTGGCTTACAGTATAAAAAAAACAATAGAAAATATACACTGAAAGTTTACTATGTATATAATGAATTGCTGTTTTGGATTTCCAACAAGCAGTAGGCGGAACAATTAGTACTCAAGTTTAACCCCCATTAAGTATTATATATGACAGCAGAAGCAATTAAAAACTTTGCATCATTAGTTTTTTGCTTCATCTCCGGAACAAGTGAGTTGTTATGTTGCAACAAACCTTTTCTAAAGATTATTATTAAAACCGTCAGTTGTCAAAAATTATAGCCAAACAAATTCAAATAGCTTAGCTTTTGTACAGAGAGTCCCACATTAGCAGGTATTGGGCACAGTTCTGACTGGTTTGAGAGTTGGTTTCTAACATGGACCCAAAAAACTTTTAATGTAAACGACAAGAAGCTTAAACAGAACATCAAAGGCGTCACTAACCAGTACAAATTGTCTGTCTTATGAAACCAGATCTACTACAGTAAAAAACAGGGGATCTGCTGAGCTGAAAGCAAGCCAACAGTACATTTTGAAAACTCATCAAATGTCATATTTACTTCTAATTGCAGTAATTTTGCTTTTAAACATTCTCCATTGCGTTAAATTGTTAAAGAAGAATGAGATTTACTCGAGTCTTGTGTGTGTGGGAGTTATTTTGAAGCATTATCTTCATCAACTTTAATTCCAGTGGTCACCAAGATAAACAGTCTGTGCAGAATCAGAAGTTATAACTGATTTTAAAAAGTTTGCTAACTTTGCCCCAAATTTAGGTTTTAAAGATCTTTGTTCCTCTCCTGGAAGTTAAACTTCTACCACCGTCTTTGCTGCTGAAGTCAGGATTCTTTGAGTGTCAAGGTGATGTCAGTTTAATTCTCTAAGGATTTGGTGGGAATGGTGTGGGGATGACACTAGAATTGGTTCTCAAACAGCCTTTGGAAACAGCATCAATCAAAGTATCATCAACCTGAAGCTGCTTGTGATGGAAAAGTTTGCACAGGTGTCTGAGTCTAGCTGCTTTTCCTCAGAACTCAGATTTGGCACTCACAGAGCTCTCATGTGTTCCCTTTAACTCTCCGCTGGTGGCCCCTGACATCCCGCCATTATCTTTACAAAACAATCGCCGCAGTGTGCCGCGGAACTTCTCCGCCCCAAACAGGTAGACCAGCGGGTCCATAGCACCATTCAGGCAGGTGAGGGAGGAGGTGAGGCGGTTGGCCAGGCTCAGGCCTCTGCGTGTCTGGCATGAGACGTCTGGGTGGCTGTAGCCCAGGATGAAGGTGGCCCTACTCATATGATAAGGCAGAAAACAGATCACGTAGATGAGCATAACCAGGCCAATGGTGCGCAGGGCCCTTAGCTTGAGCGCCGGCTCCAACCTGGAGCCGCGATGCAAGCTGTGAATGATGAGGAGGTAACAGGAAAGAGTGGCGAGGAAAGGCGGCATGAAGGCGACGGCCAGCGAGATCAGAGCGTTGCGTGAGGCCTTCTCCCTGTATAGCTGCAAACACACCGTCATGTTGTCCACCTGTGCAGTCTGATGGGTGACAAGCAGCGGTGCCATGGAGACAGTAACTAGGACCCAAAGAGAGAAGCTGATGATCTGAGCATAGCGAGCGCGACGAATCTTCAGTGACCTCACAGCGTGAACCACAGCCAAGTATCGATCCCCTGCTACACAGGCCAGGAAGTACAGGCTGGCATACATGTTGACATAAAACAAAAAACCCACCACCCGGCAGGGCACCTCGCCCAGGGGCCAGTGGCCTCCTGTAAAGTGGTAGGTGGCCCTGAGCGGGAGGATGATGACGTACGATAAGTCTGCCACAGCCAGATGAATCAGGAAGACGTTAGCTGGAGAAGAAACGCCACGCTGGTGAGAGAAAATCCAGAGAGCCAAACTGTTACCGCTCAGCGCCAGAACAAAAACCACGAGGTAGAACCATCCAAACAGCTGGTTCTCGATCGTGGTCTCCAACACTACACAGCTCTCTGATGACTGATTGGATGGCAGATGCATTGTAGCAGACTCCATTTTGGTGACTGTGGAGACAGAAAATATTATAATTATCATTACCTTTAAACCATTTCTGTAGTATAAGCAGAAGTGCATATATTCAGGACAGTTACGACGGGTCTAATTTTGTGCTGCAGGCTGCAGGGGTGGTCAGATTTCTGACCTGAATTTGAGTACTTTTGATTTTTTTTTTTTTAAGTTTATACACACACATACACACACACACACAAGACAGCAAAGACAGTCCCAGTAGACTGCATATTCTTTAGATCTTACAATCACCTCTTCCTTAGAAAACCCACCCACTGCTCCATCCAACCCCGCCAAGCTCCAACTGTTCACTCTTTGTATTTTTTGCTCTCTTTTCCCTGTTGCTTTAGCTCACTCTCTACACAGAAACATCACCGGGGCGTGAACAGCTAAGTCTGACTTTAATTAATTTAAGGCAAGGCTTCCTTCACTTTGGTATTTCTGTTGGATCCAAAACCAACATTTCTACCGTGTTTAGCTGGGGCTGAACTGTCAACCCACACAAAAGATGTTTCTGTAGCTGATGGAAGGTTCCCAAATGCAAAAAACCCTCCTTAAATTCAACAAGCCTGTTTGTGAGAGAGTTCACTTTAGAAGCTAAATACATGAAAGGAAGATTTGGAAAGTGAAACAGACTCTGTTTAGTACACCTGTTCAACTGCTCATTAATGCAGTTATCAAATCAACAAATCACATGGCAGGAGCTCAGTGCATTTAGACATGTAGACGTGGTGAAGACAGCCTGTTGAAGTTCAAACTCAGCATCAGAATGGAGGAAGAAAGGTCATTTAAGTGACTTTGATTGGTTGTTGGAGCCTGATGGGATAGACTGAGTATCTCAACTGGTGATCTACTGGGATTTTCCTTCACAAAGGGTTTACAGAGGATGGTCCGAAACACGGAAAATATCCAGTGAGGAGCATGTTGATGTCAGAGGTCGACATCAACATACAGTTCATACAGACTCACTAAAATCAGACATTAGAAAATTGGAAAACTTTGCTTGGTCTTCCACGTATCAACGGTTCAGGCTGCTGCTGGTGCTGTAACATTGTGGGGAATATTTCCTTGACACACTTTGGGCCTCTTAGTCCCAACTGAGCATCATTTAACCACCACAGCCTGTCTGAGTATTGTTGCTGACCATGCCATACCTTTATGACCACAGTGTGCCATCTTCAGATGGGATAACACAATGTCACAAAGCTCACATCATCTCAAACTGGTTTCTTGAACATGACAGTGATCTCAGTCCAACAGTACAACTTTGGGATGTGATGGAATGGGAGATCATAGAGGCAACTGACAAATCTACAGCAACTGTTTGATGCTGTCATGTCAATATGAACTAAAATCTTTGAGGAGTTTCCAGCACCTTGTTGAATCTATGCCATGAAAAATGAAGGCACTTCTGGAGGCAAAGGATAGACCTACCTGGTACCATCATGGTGTATCTAATAAAATGATTTCTGCACAGGATAGCAAAGAATAAGATATACATTTAAAGATATATGTTTGTTTCCTATTACTTCAAAATAAGAACTTTCTAGACTTGTATATGGAAAAGATCCATATCCAAAGACTATCAATAACATTTCCTGATTGTTTCTGTGTTCTCTTTATGTTTTAGTGCTCATACAGTTATTTTTAGCTCAAAGATATTTTTCAAAAATAGCATAGAATAGAATAGAATAGAATTCAACTTTATTGTCATTGCACATGCACAGGTACAGGGCAACGAAATGCAGTTTGCATGCATCCAGAAGTGCTTTAGTGATATAGATATATTACAATATATATTAGCAATAATATAGATATGTGAGCTTATGTGCTTAAACAATGCAGAATAACCACAATGACTCACACACACAAAAAAAACCTGACTGGGCTAAATTTCACTCCCTGACTTTTGGCCCTTTAAGAAGCAGCGTGGCTCTTTTCAGTGGGTGTTGTGGGACCCACATGCCAGGGCATTTCTCAGCCAGGGCTCAGAGTCAGAGCTTTCAGTCCCCCTGAAGAAAGAGAACTGCAGTCCCAGCAGGGATAACAAACCAGAAACGGAGCAGCTGAATGGAAAAGCTTCCATAAATGCAGATAATCCTGGACAGAGACAAAGCTGAAATACGCCTTCATCACGGCGATCTGGATAAGCAGATCTGTGCAGTGAAGAGGAGACTGAGCATCCTGGTATTGGTCCTTTACACACAGCGCTTATGGAAAAGCTGCAGCAGCTGTAATGTGTGAAATCTTCCATTGTCTAATGTGAAACAGGATTAAATGAGCCCACTTCATAGTAAGCAATGATAGAAATTTGTTGAAACAGTGCAATCAGTAAAAGATTGAGCTGTTTGGGTTTGCATGAGCAAAGTGAGAAATTTACAGAAAGGTTTATATAGTAAATCAACGGCAGAGGCAAGTATTTAGTTTAAGTTATAAAGGAACAAATAATAAAGAGGACTTACTGGACGGGCACTCCTAAAAAGAAAAGTTTTGCTGCTGGAAGACAAAGAGGAGATGATCAGTGCAGGAGCAGGGAGCTGTACGTGAAGACAGCTAGTTCGTCTGCCGCTGTGTGGAAAAACTGGCGCTCTGACATGAGGAATGCTGTCCTATAACCCCCCTATCTCTCTCTCAAGATGTTCTCGGGAATGAGACTGTAGCTCTTTTTGTGTCTCAACAAATTTGATAACAGAAAGGGAGTCCCAATGGGAGCCTTTCGTTTGAACCCTGACCCCACCCTTTCTTTCTCCATCCCCTTCTTTTCAGAGAGCCACTTGTGCGCTTCACAATAGGCTGAGTCAGAATGAGCGGCGCATTTCAGCAGCGGAAAGAAGAATGGCATGCCTCAGTCGCAATGAGTTTTGGGGGTATGGCTCCATGGTAACCAAGGCTAGTTGTGCATTAAGTGCCTTTACCATGAACTCCCAGCCTCCCACTGACAGATAGAAGATGGACTGTGTTGTTAATTGTGTTGTTAAAAGTTTATGACTGAAGTCTCCGAGATGATCTTTTGTACATGGCCTGCTCTGTTTTGGAGGGGGCCCCAAGCCCTCACTATAGGAGAGCCAGAGAAAAACAAGCCGTGAGAGGGGGGTGCTTGGAGGAAACAGAGGCCCTTGTTGCTGTCTTGCCTCCTGGGGGCATCTTGAATTGGAATGCCCAAAATAATCAGTCGCATAGCCATCGGACAGATGTGGAGAGGGGACCCACTGACCAAGGGGAGATAATATTTCTTTCATACATGAACTTCACAGCTGTGTTTCAGACACATTGGCCCTTCTTCTCCTCTATATCATCGATATGCAAATGGTATTCTGTAGACTTGAATGAAACCACTATCTGCAGACTGTGGAGAAGCTTTGACATCACTACTCTGTTAATCTACTGCCAATTGCTAATTGGGACAGCCCCCCGCTTTTGTTCGGCTTCTCCACTTTGTCTGTTATTCGTCTTGTTACCCCGAAGCAAAAACATCCCCTTGTGCAAGAGCACAGCATCATAAATTTATCATTCTTCTTACTGCTGGGAGGGTTTAGTCAATAAAACGTGCTTTTTTCTTGCTGATGAAAGAGTTTAATAAAAACAGAGATGCTTTCATTTTAAAGGATAATTCCGCCATTGTATGTAGCTGTGGACAGCCTCCCACAAGTAAACAAACATCTAAGTTTATCAGTTAGACATGACAAATGAAAACAGAAATACATTCAG